TGTGTGTGTGTGTGTGTGTGTGTGTGTGTGTGTGTTTGTGTGTGTGATCAGGGCTGCTGTCTGCCCCTGGATTTATCAGACCAATGTGTTGAGCTGGCTGCTGGACCTGCAGTGTTGAGGAGCTAAAGGCACGACATCACAGAGCAGTAAAAGCCTCCATCCCTCCAGTCCTTGTAAAAAACAACAGTGGGAAAATGTTGCTTTTCTTTTCCATTTATCAAACTAAAGAGCACTTTCTGCAATAGCATGACCTCTACTTACTGTACCATCATCAGGTGATGGGACTAACCTCTGCAATTAGTCACGTGGCGTCTGTATTGTTGCAGTTTGCTAAACAGAAATATTAGTTTAACAGTGATATCCAGCATGAAAAATAAAATAAAATCATCTTCTCGTGTGCAGGATGGGAGTATTATACCCACAAACTAAATATCTAACAGCAATAATAAAGCTGATGCACTGAACCTTCAATGATATAAAAGGCTGCTGCATGTGTAAATAATTTCATCATTCACCTCACCAACATGAATTGTCACTGTTGTTCATGAATATTGTAACTGTGGGGTGAAAACTCAAAGCTCCAGATTCTTTATTTAATATAAAAGCTTTTGTAAACCAGTTCAACACTTGAAAATTTCATCTTGGATGTAGAAAGAGTTTCACCCAGCAAAAGCAATATACCTCACGGTTATGTCAATGATTTACATAACGGAAAACACACAATCATTCCATTACAGCTCATCATAGGCTGTATATAGGACAACCTCTGTCACCACTGCAAATCATTAATGTCTCTCATTCTCTTAACTGCAGGTTATGTGGGTATGCAACTTGTGCCGAAAACAACAAGAAATCCTCACCAAGTCGGGGGCGTGGTTCTACAGCTCGGAACCCGGTCAGGTGCGGGGTGTGTTTGAGGGCGGGCCACAGGGGAAGAAGGCCAAACTGCAGGACCCGTCCCTGTACCCCTACCAGGGAGCCTCAGGGGACTTGAAACCAGCGTCAGACAGAAGCAGAGCTCGTGGTGGGCTCCTGCCCAGACAGGGGTCCCTTGACAACGGTTCGGGGCTGAGGTACTCGGGACCAGGCGACGAACCCATAGACAGGTAAGTTGAAAGAACACATCCCTCCATATGGGTTGTTTTTATTGTTTTGTTGAGGCATTGCTATTATTTGATCAGTGAATAAAGTAGCACAGAAGTAAAGAGCTTGCATATGATGCCACTTAACATAGGTGCGTAGAGTCTTTTTGTCTTAGAACTGTATGTGACGGTTGCACTTAGGTAGTGCAGAACAGTGAATCAAGCCTGGCATAAAAGCAGTGTCTCCTATAAGCCAGTCAAGGTCCCATATAAAACTGCTTGTACATGGAGCCCATGAGGCCTATAAAAGAGAGAGAGAGACACAGATACTGTGTCTGGCACTAACTCAGCAATTCTACAACAGTCATCCACCCACTCACTCTCTCTCCTCTTCACACACATGCAGCACATCGACACATACAAACACAGATGGTTTTAAATCCGACTCAGCTGGCAGGTGAAGGGTGCTTGTAAGGATTCATACCATCACTTCCTTTGAGGGAAACTGTTTTGTCAGAGGAATGTTTGTAAACCAGTTCAGACAATGCACCGCTTATATATGAAGATGTTTTCGGGATAGAAAATGAAGAGCAGGTCTAATTATGATTCAGTACATTGTGTCCAATTTGTCATATGCACTAAATAGCCACTCTGAGGAGAGCACTCGCAAATGCTGACAAACAGGGACATGCTGTGCTTGTGAGTCCGATATCTGGTCGCTTATTTCTCGATACTGGTATCAAGTAAGGTGGTTGCTTTCATGTCCATGTCCATGTCCATGGGGGCTCCTTCCTCTTTTTTCTCTCAAAGGAAGGAAGAGAAGCTTATCGTCAGAATCTATACACTATAATTTATCTTCACAGCAGAGAGCTAGGTAGTAGGCCATTGAGAAAAAAAAACAGCCTTCTCTTATATCCTTATTTGCTCTAACGTATTTGTAACCTTAGAAAATGGACATATATGAGTGTATGTATATATGTATACAGTATATATGTGTGTGTGTGTGTGTGTGCAGGAAAAATCTGTGAATTAGATACCATTTCAACTACATTTCTGTGCTGACCTTTAATACGGGTCACATACCTTATTGTCTAGTGCAGGGGCAAACCAGCATGCACTATCCTGTTCCCACAGTGTGTTTGATGACACAACTCATTAGTTGTGTGTATCCTGTCTCTGCTATTGCAACCTGCCATTTACTTTTTAATCTTTTGAAAATGCTCCTATATCTTTAGAAAGGGGAGAGCTCAATTGGTGACAACATTGGCAATTGATGACAACATTGGTTGTCATCAATTGCCTGATATTTGGAACAAATGGATATTTTGATGGATATATGCATAGTCGCTGCCTTCCATTAACCAGCACAGTGTGTTGTAGTAGTACTTACAGTACTTTAAAATATTAATTAAGCTATTGTGCAACAATGACACACACACACACACACACATACACACACACACACACACTCAGCATTGCTATAACTCTCAAGTAGACACATTTCCCCCCTGACTGAGTTAAAATATGTTCCTTGGCTATCCTTGTTAAATCTTCCATTCATTATGTCTCTATATTCAGAATACCAACCGCACAGTAGCAGAGCAAAGACTGCACCATGCAATCAGTCAGTCAGACAGTCAGTCCATTCGTCCAGGCTCTTTCTGTATATGTATTGATGGCATGGCTAGAGAGGGGGATCTGGTATGAGGGATTTTTGCTTTGGCATTGCCCCCATTGCGGAGACACAACAGGAAACTGGCTGTCTGAGAATTCATGGGATAATGCTGATGATGGATCGCTGCAAGTCCATAAATAGCACTCCCACTGCATAAGCACCAAAACCCACTTTCATTAATCTTAAAGAATGTTTAAATTAACTCCTGGATGTGTTCTGTCCAGGAGAGGAGGCGAAAAAGCTGACAGTCTATTTATAAGGAGAAATAACTTAGGAAGGTTTTTAATTTATCTTGGTCTCAGAGGTGTCATTTGAATGAACACAGATACGCTGGACAGCTGCAGTGTTGGGTGAGGCTGATGAAACAATGATTACAGTGGGACTGGAACATATTCACTGGCGGAATTTCTTCAGATTCTGCATTTTTTAACACATTCAGCCACACAAGAGAAATGTTAAGACTGCCAAAAATGTTAGAGGAGGAAACACTCAGGAAGGACTGGCTGTTTCGGCCCAGTCCAGTATCAAGTAATTCGATTTATCATTGCTTTTAAAAATCTTCAATATTACTCAAGTTATTTAAGTAAGAGCATACCTGAAATGTTGCTTTCCCAATAAAACGGCATGCATGTACATCCACAGTAAGTGCAAGATCTATTAGATGCTTGGTGTGGACAAGTGGTGTAATAACATTATCATGAATTGTGTTATTTCTCTTAAATTAGTGGTTTAGTGGATGAACTCCTCAGATCTCAGAAACAGTTTGTTTTCAACAAAGACACTTTGGCATCAAGTGTGAATAATAAAATGAATGATGGCTGAATTCCATTCAGCTGCTTCAGGTTCAGGTTCCTGGTGTTGTGTGTGCTGCCTCACTGGCACATTGATCATTTTAAAAGGCTTGTTGTACTGTGACAAGTCTGTTGAAAGAGAGGGCCTTTCCATTGCTATGTAGTACTGTAGCTGATACAGTGACACAACCTACAAACAATTCCAACTGATGCTGGTGTTCTCACAAGTTCTAACATTTGGTTCTAGTAGCTAATGTTTAATTTAGTGATTTATCCTGCAAGTATTAACTATCATGTCTTGATAGCAGTTTAGCATCACAATGTTAACATTATCACAATCCTATCATTGCTCTATATACAATCTATATTAAATCAAGTCTAATACAATGATGCATTATTGTACTAAATGCTGAAAAGATGGCTGGATGATATATAGATTGATGGATGGATGAATGATAGATAGATAGATAGATAGATAGATAGATAGATAGATAGATAGATAGATAGATAGATAGATGGATGGATGAATGGAGGACATCCCAAAAACGGTGAAATTCCCGTGTTAGAGCAATGTATCAGGCACACAACATGCTTTAAAGGGATAGGTCACCCAAACATGAAAACGCTGCAGTTCTCGTGAGAACTTGCAATATCTGCAGTTACTGCTGCAGTAACTACATGAGGAGGATAACAGACATTAAGGCTCAAAACATGGTGTTAATGATGCTGGTTCTAGTCGAATGTCAGGGCTTACAGACACTCGGATGACACTGCAGGATCAATGTGGAGGATTTCTCTTTTCTGACGGATTTTTACGTTTAAAGAAGTGGTTACCATTAAGTTAAATTGGATTGGATTAGGCTGCAGCACCATTTCCCCCTGAAACTTCAAAAGTGTGAAACCGCCCACCCCTCTAGATAATGAGCGAACTATCCCTATAAGCTGCAACAACTATACAAAATAAAAATAATAGAAAGATATCAAGAATGTACATATACACACTTAAACAAAAGTGAAAGTTTAAAGATGTCAAACCCAGACTCACAGGTTATCTTGCTCTGCTTTAGAAAACCCTCAGAAAGGTTCATAACGTTCGCACATTGACTTTCATTATCCTGTAGAAATGTTGAATACTATCAGTTGCTTAGTATCTGCTTCAGGAATCGTTTAGTTTCTCTCTGTGTGGTTTTCAGCTGAAAAATCATTTAATTAAATAAACAAGTAATCCCTCGGGAGACCCCCTCCCCTTTTTATGTGTGCCCTCTCCTGACAGGCAGACTCTGTCAGAGGTACAGTATCAGGACTGTCCTCCTTCCTCCTTTATTACTGATGAGGAGCTGATGCTCTGAACACAGATATGAGATATAAGGGGAAAAAAAAAACCCTGACGACAGCATCGCCTCTCTCTCTCTCTCTCTCTTCGCTTCATTGTATTGTGCTCTATCTGCTGCTGCGCTCCTTCCATAGAGTGCATGATAGAAGATGGAGAGATATGGCAAAGAGTGCGCACGATTGCATATCAGCCCCATAGTGTGTGTGCATATATGTGTGTGTGTGTGTGTGGTAGCACGAGTGTGTCCTCTTCATATGCGACTGGAAATATGAGTTGAATGTGAGGCAGCAGCTGATGCGCCGGTAAGCGATGGTGCTGCTGCTGCTGGCTGCTGTGTAGGATGCTCCGCCGCCTCCTCTCTCCTCCGGGCGCTCCTCTTCCTCTTCCCGCACACCGAGACGAGATTGTTGCTACAGCGGGAGGCAGAGAAAGCACGTTACCGGCACTACCTCCCTTTTTTTAATCGCTTCAGCTCCGGAGCAATATGACCGAAGGATCCCGCCCGGAATGCGTCTCGTGTGAGGACACTTTTCACCAGGAGCGGCAGGAGAAACATGGAACTTGATCGGCGCCTTTTCTGCGTCTAATGCGCCCCGGGAGATAATCACAACCCAATACTGAGGAGGTGTAGCCTATGTGTGGAGGGGGGCGTCCGGGGAGAGCGCAGGGATGTGTTGTTGGTGAAAGGAGAAGGGGTGATCATTTACTGAGGATAAAAGAAAGCGGAGGGGGAAAATGCAGTTTGAGACATTGCGTCAGTTCTGTAGCTCGGTTTTATCACATTTCAACGGGGCTTTCTCTGCGCCTCAGAACATCCTGCAGACGGAGCTGTTCGAGCAGGCGTTGAGCAACATCGGGTGAGTGATTCCTTTGTAAAGAAACCCTGATTTATGAGGAAGGGCTTCCCCGTTTGGTATGTCAAACGAGTATTGGGGGGGTGGGGGGGATGTGTGTGGAGGGGGGTGTTGCGTTTATCGATCTACAGCCAGCCTGCGTAATAACAACCCACAGCAGAGCCTGCTGCTGCTGCTGCTGCTGCAGATATTTCCTGGCTGGATGATGGTGGGGCCGTGTCAGTGATGCTGCTGCGTGCTGGGTTTGAACGTCTCTGAGGTGGGGGGGGGTAGCCAAAATGAAAAGGTTCTGTAGACTGTGACCATTCCGAGGTGTGACTGTGCTGTGCGTGCAGCCGTGTATGCATAGATGCGCGTGCGCGTACGCCCTA